TTTTTAAAAAAATAGTTATCTTAAATATTAAATCAAAAATCTAAAAATGTTCTTAATTATAAATATATAAGATCTTAGTAATATAAAAAGGAAAAATAGCCAAAAAAAATAAATTTATTTTTATATAGAAGCAGTCAATAGAAAAGAGAAAAATCCATTTTTTTAGTTAAAATTTTTTTTATTGATTCACTTTGCTAATTATGATTATATGAATAAAACTAGTTTAATAACTAAAATTACTTAAAATTTGTAGATTTATTTTCTTTCTATTAATCATCTTTTATATGCTAAATATGATTTTTAGGTCAAAATATATTTAGATTTAATATTAATTTATTTTTATTTTTTTCAGCTATTTTTTTCTTTCTATTACAAATATTCTATATAACTAAAATTACTACTTTTTATTTTAATTATTATTGATATGATATTATTTTTCTTAGTATTTAATTTAAATAAGTAATGCTAATTTATCTTAAAAGCTTTGGCTATTTTTGTTATTTTAAAAACTTTTATTAAATTTTAATATTACTAATTATACTGAATAGTATAAAAATAATTAGAGAAATAACAGATAATTAAAATTAATCTAATGAAAAGATTATAAAAAAATTCTGATATATAAAATATAGCTATTATTGATAATATTGATTTTAAAAAAAAACTTTTAAATACTAAAAAACAGTTTTAGAAACTGTTATTAAATCTAAAGTATAAGTATAATAAAAGAGACTAACTATATATTGACTTAAATTTTGAGCGAGTGAACAAATAAACAAATATAAATATATATAGTGCTTTACTATTGCTTTGGACTAATAATAATATTTTTGATACTATTTATAATAGTTCTTATATAACTCTTAGAATAGCATTTAAATTATAATTCCAATTTTTTTAAAAAATATTTATGATATAAAATTATTAGATTTTTACTAAACTTTTAGTATAAATAATAAAATAAAGATATGTTAGACATGTTTGATAAAATTATTAATGATTTTAAATGAAAATAGATAAATCTTTTATAATAAAAAATTGATATATCAATTATTTATCACAGAATTTTAGTAAAGTAAAATATAAATATTTTAAGATTAATTGAAAATAATAATATTAAATGCAGAAAAATTTTAAATACAAATAAATGCATATTTTAATCTACAAAAATCTATGTAAATGATTTAAATTTACATATATATATTAATGATGAATAATGCAATTTCTAGAATATTTATTAAATATATAAGAAATAGTTATTTTTTTACATTATCAATAAAGCAATTGACCAATCATAATGAAGTCATGTAGATGATGCAATATAACAATCTCTTAATCTAAATTTCTGAAAATACTGAATATTCTACGAATTCTGAAAATACAGGAGATTTACATAATTCTAAAGATCTTCTAAATACTGATAATAATTCTAATTTTACAAATTAAAAGAAGTCTAAGAATATTTAGTGTTATACTTATTTCTAATATTCTAAAATTTTATTATTATTTTTATTATATTTTATATTATTATTATTTTGTGTATATTTATTATTTTCAATATATTTATTTTACTTATATTTTATTTTACTAAATTAGTTAGTTTATAGCATAGTAATTAGTTAGCTGTGATAAAAGAAATTTTGTATAAATAGATAGACTTTTTGCTTATATTGTAAATTAACTCTTTTGTGAATATGAGTCTTAATATTAATAAAAGAATCATTTAAAATTTATATCTTTTGCCTCTTTGTGTCTTTATATAATCTGACGTGATCCTTATACAATATTTGTAATTGAGTTTGTCATCTGAATTCTTTAATTAAATTGTTTATAATCTCATCTTTTAAGTCTTCATACTTGATAGATTTGCTTAAGTCTAATGCGTAAATTTAGTAAAATTAAGAGTTAGGTAGATCTTAATGTCTTGATTGCAATAAGCTGCAATTAGAAAATTTTGAGTAAAGACTTGATAATATGACCACTTTGAGTTGAAGAATTCCACAATGACAACATTTAAATTTTTGAATAATAGTATATTTTAAAAGATATATAAATATACTAATTATTTTATTTTTAAGCTATAAAATTTTTAATCTAGCTAAAAAATGAATATAAATTTTTAAATAAACTAGATAAAGTAATTTATTATCATTTAACAATATATGTTTAAAATTTAATCTAAAGTAATATTATTATTGCTATTTGAATTTATCTAAAATCAATAATTTATATAAATATAATATAATGAATTCAGAAAGTAATGCAAATATTATTTAAGAATATGATATCTTTATTGTTAATGAGCATTAATTTTTAAAGCTCATATTAGAATTCAAATTAGTAATTATCAATTATAAAAGAATATTTTAGCTAACTTTTTAGAATTATTTATATTAACTAATAAATCTAATTATTCTATTTCAATTGCTTTTTTTCTTAGTTTAATTGCTTAATATTCAAAACTAGAAGAAAATTTTTAATTTATTATATTAGTTAAAATAAATAATGATATAAATTGAAAAAAATATTATTTTGCTAATGATGAAGTTTTTAAAACATTTAAAATTAAATTTATTAAATAAAATATAGTTAGAAATGTGATTAATACTAGTAATTTAAAATTACAATTAAGACTATATAAAGTAAAGAGATTGAATAGGTATTTTATTATCAGAATATTTAGATAATACTTATAAATTAATTGAAAATGAGCTATTAATTAGCATAAAGATATGTGAAATTTAGTAGATAAAATTTTAAAAATATTTAATAATTCTTATAATTATAATTATTATTAAAATTAATTATAAAATAATATTTTTATAAAATAATTTACTTTTGATAGTGTTATATTTTAATTACTATTTTTCTAATAGAATTTATGAATTAAATCTATATTCTTATAAGATGTAATATTAACACAAAAGAGTGATAAGGTTGAAAAAAAAAGTTAGGAGTTATATAATGAAAGACAAATGATTAAAATTCTAAAAGTAAAAATACAAAAAAAAAGTATAGTGATAAACTAATTATTAATTTATTTACATAAAATAATTCAATAAATAATTTGAAATTATTACAAAAAAAAGAAAGTAAGAGCACTGAGTTAAAAAACAATTATAAAATCTTTTGTTAAATCAGAAGAAATACTTAAATAATTTAAGTTATCAAAGATTTAGATGAAGAATAAAATAAATCATATGTTAATCAATATGTTTTGTGTCATAAAATCTGTAATTAATAAATAAACTTAATAAACTTAACCTTTTTGATTATAAATTTTATTAAAGTATTAAATTATTTTTAATAGTTATTTTAATATATATATAATAAAAAAATAATTTATTTTTTTATAGAAGAATATAGTAAGTTAGTTTAATAAATTTATTAGAATAGAAAAAGAATTAAAATTTACATACTTAAGTATTTTTTAAAAATAGTTATAAAGAATATAAGAATCTTGACTTTTAGTATTAAAAAAAATTTAATAATTAATAAAATTATTAAATATATATTTAAAAAGTAAATTAATAGATTTTATTAAATAAAAAATGAATAATATTAAGTTTTATTAAATATTGTCATTGGGTTTATTTTCGTTTATCTTAACGTTTAAGTTAAAAGGCTGTAGCAGTTGATTCTACATATTGGAGTTGACCTTAAGATTTTCTCTAAGTCCTACAGGTATCTGTTATACTTGAATCAACTTGGTAATTTATCACATCTTAGAATTTAAGATATGTTAGTTGAATTTGTAATGACGAACTTAATAGCAAGTTAGTGTAATGTATTACAATAATCCTAGTGAAGGACAATATTAAAGAGGAAAATAAATTTGTATAGATTTAGATTGATTCCTTTATTTATAATACTGAAACTTGTAAGTAACTTATAAATGAGTTAATTTACAACTTAAGCAAAAAACTATTCTATTTATATAAAATAAATTTGTTATGGCTAATTACTTGCTATGCTATAAATTAACTAAATATAGATATATATTTCAATAAAAATATACTTAATGTAATAAAAATAATATAAACTATAAAAATAATAAAAAGAAATAAAATAAATTACAGATGGTAAGGAAATTACAGACAAAATAGAATAAACAGGCTGTATAGAAAATACAGAAGAAACAGGCATAATATGTGAAACAGAAATTATTGCTGATTACTATTTGGCACAGCAGTGATATCGTCTAATGTGAGATCATTATTGATTGACAGATTCCATGTGATATTTGGAGTTGTAATTTCTTTTGTTGACAATATTCAAAATTTAAAAAACATATTATATAATAAATTTATTTTACAACATAATTAATAACTTTAAGTGATACAAAAATTTTTTATTATGATCAACATAACCTTATAAATATGTATCCTTATAAGATATTACAATTAATATCTAATAATTCCATTTCTTACATATTAATAAAATCCATTTTTCTTTTATATTATTATATTTATCATCAATATTATTTATAATATTTTGAGTATAAGTGACTAAATTATTTATAGTATATTAAAATTTACATTAATAATAATGTAAACTCTATTATTTATAGAATCACTAAAAAAAATTTTAAAATTAAAATTGATCAAGAAAATGAAATGTAATTAGTAAAAAAATGATATACCTAAGAATTATTAAAGCAAATATTTTTATTTAATAATATTTTAATTTAATTATAATTGATAAAATTCTAATTTTCAGATATGCAATTTATATATTTAGAAAGTATCTAATTATAGATATAGATAGATTTAAAAGAAAATTTTTTAAAAATGTTACTTTAAATAAATTCATAAATTCATTTTCATGTGTCAAATGTATTTTTTCAAGTGTATTTTAATTATATAAATTGACTATGTCACTAACCAAGATTTATTTTTAAATAATAAACCATTTTTTAATTAATATATTAATTATTTTATAAGATTAGCATACGACTAAAAAGAAAGAATCTAACACTCTATAAAGAACTAATAATATTATTATGCCTTTTCATTTCTATCATCTCTAATGTTATCATTTCTATCATCAAATGAATTCCCACGTTCTAATTTATCATAAACAATATTTTGTTTTCTATTTTGTTTTGAATCTTGATCTTTAATCCAAGTATAAAGACAAGTACCAAATAATATTAAAAAGATTCCACCGACACGACCAGTAGTTAACAAGTCACCAAAAATCAAATTCCCAAGAATAGTTTGTACAACCCCGCGAAAAGCTGAGGAGATCATATGAGTAACGGGTGAAGTTACTTTAATTTGAAGGAATCCTGCCACATTAATTAAAAAACCAAAGAATCCAGTAACCAAAATCCCAATTAAAAAGGTTTTTGATATGCCGCTAGAATTATTTTGAAATAATTCCGAATATTGATTTTGTTCTCGGAACAAAAATATTAATGGCATAAATGCAATAGCACTCAAAATATTATTATAATAAACCAAGTCTAACGTATTACCTTTTACCACGGTTAAACTTTTCTTAATGACAATAGCGTGCAACGCTGTTGAAATTGATGAACAAATACCAAAAATGATACCAACAAAAGAAATTGAAAGTCTTTCAGAAGATACACCGACAAAAAATCCAATACATACAACCAAACATGCTAATAAGATTTTATATGATGTTTTTTGTTTTAAAAACATAAATGAGAATAAAACTGTAAATGGAAGCACTAAAGCTCTTGCAACTTGATAAAAACTTGCGTCTACATATTGTAAACATATCGTATTAAAACTAAGTCCTAAAACATTTATTGCTATTAATGGTAATAATCCTATGCATTTTTTTTTTTCAAGTATTGGTAATTGTAATATACCGAATATACTGGAAAAATGTAATAGAATGACTGCCATTACTACTTGAAACCAAAGCAATGTGAAAGGCAAGGGGACTCTATTTAACACCCACTGTTGATGTTAAAAAAAATTGTGTTAATAGAATTTCTTGAACCTTCCCCTCCAAAAAATTAAGCATTTGAAAATTACCTTATTCACAAATACCATCGTTAATGCTGTTGAAATGTAAAATGATACTGAAAATATGACCATACCACGACTAACTGTCTCTTGACTTTTACTCATTTTGATTTTTGTCTACAATGAAAGGGTAAAAGATAAAGAATGCGGGAAAACTAACGCAAATTACACAATCCTGTTCAATTTATTTACCAATCAAATCATTGAATTTATTTTGCATCAAAATTGAAATTGAGCCATCTAGCCAATCATGATTATTTTTCAATAAATGATAATTTTTATTTAAAAGCAAACCAATTTTCAAATTTTTTTTAATTTTTTTTTTGCAAACAAAAAATTTGATCCGATTTTTATATGCTTTAAACTCTTTTATTTTCCCCCTTTTATTCCATATATGAGGTCATTTTATGACGAAATTAAATAATGATCGGCAAATTTTCCCATAGTACTCGTGCCATAGATGTTTGATGTAATAAGATCATCACGAGTTTTTTGAAATTTCAAATATTACTTAATTTAGAAGATAAACCGAGCATAACGATAAAACAAGCATTCGTTCGATACTTCTATTGTAATTTTTAACTTTTTTTTTTGGTCTAAAAAACATAATTCATTAAAAGTTCTTATTACAATAATGTCAAATGCAACTCATAAATCTATCGCTCAACTTAAAAAGGAAGCTATTGTTGCTTATGAACCTAATCATTTTAGTATAAAGCAATGGTTAAATTCAACAAACAAAATACTCGATGCGGTATGTTACTTTACTAATGTTGCTGAATAATTTGTATTATGAATTTTTTAACATTAGTTTTTGTAGGCAAAATTTGCAAAAGAAATTAACGAGAACAATGCCAATGAAACTATATATGTAAATAATATAAGAGCTACAAGGTAAGTTCTTTTCAGTTTATTTCAAAACTTTAAACGAGAGATTAATATCAACTAATACATACATACATACATATATATTTGTTCTTATTCAGTATATTATTAGAAATAATACCTAAACACAGAGATTATCATCATGAAATTCATAATCGAGTAGGATCAACTTATTCTGATTTCTTCAAATTAAGAAATGTAAGACTTTATTTATTTATTAGCATTTTGGTTTGTTTATTATAGTTATCAAATGTTAATTAATTAATTAATTAATTTTAGAGACTTGATGAGATTATGGCTGAAGCGGAAGAGGCGGCTAAAATATTGGAAGAAAGAGAACTCAATGAGAATATATTGGAGGGACAAAATGATCAGAGAAATTCGAATACTATATCATCATCATCATCATCTAACCCCATTCAAATGCCAATGCCTCAATTTTCACCAGCTAGGTCATCAAACTCGAATTCAGCATTAGATATATCAAATCATGGGTTCAACGGTCTTCCTCGTTCACCTGTTTATATAGTATCAGAAAATATGATTGGTAGTGTATCTTTAGATAATTCCTCAGATTCAATGATTCCAATGAATCCATCCGTTGCTGAAAGAGTAAAAAGTTTACAAAATAGAGGTTTAAACGTTGATAGGGTGCATTCAAATATCAATAAGTCGCTTGCTAAAGATACTTCATCTACGTTGAATGGTAATACTTCGACTTCTCCAAAATTATCAATGCCAACTCCGATTCCAACTCCTCCTACTTCGGTTCATAATGATAATTCAGTGCATAATAAAATATCATCTTCATCTACTACCTTGTCAACTGGATTGAATGCTCAACAATCCAATGTCGATCCTTTCCTTGATTTAAAGGTTTCGGATTCAATAAATGCTGGGGATCTGTTATCATTTTTTAAGAAAACTGATCACTCACCAACAATATTAATACTGGATGTTAGAAATAGAGAAGAATTTGATGCAGGACATATTAAAATTGATAATATAGTTTGCTTAGAACCACTCATTCTAGCGGAAGGGTTAGTAATTTAATAATTTTATTATCGTAATAGTTTAGATATTAATTCGCTTGAATTTTTTTATTTTTTGAAAAAAAAAACAACAAATTAGAATTTCTAGCATAGACTTGGAAAATAACCGTTTAATACTTTCTCCAGTAAAAGAACAAGCTTTATTCAAGGATCGTGATAAATTTGATTTAATTGTGCTTCACGACAAAGATTCGACTTATTATCCATCAACAGGAAAATTTAATTCACCTTCAGCAATTGGACGTGGTAATATTTTGTCACGTTTAAAGTCGGCGATTTATGAAAATGATTATCAAAAAAAATTACGAAGAATGCCTGTTTTGTTAAATGGAGGTTTTGAAGCTTGGAAACGTTTGGCTGGAGATAATTGGATTGAAAAATCTAATACTATTATTCAAAGTAATGGAATCGCCAATACTGATATTGGTGCTGAACCGATAAATGTACCATATAAAAACGACAAATCAAATAGAAACGGTTTTGTAATTTCAAATGATAATTCTTGGGTTGAAAATATCAATACAAGGTATGATTTCTTCTAATACATAAAAAGTTCTTTCACATTTTTATTATGTACTGATTATCTTAAGTGTATTACTAATCTGATTACCTTTTTTTTTTCGCATAATATTATTACTATTACTATTATTAAATAAGGCCTGTACACTCTCCTATTAAAACAAATGATATTGTTAGCAAAATACAAAATAATGAACCTATTAGCTCTGGTAGAGCTCCGTATATAACAAATATATTCGAGCTAGTGAGTAATGATTATTATTGTTATTATTATTTTCATTGTTTATTAAAAGTTATATTAATTATTTTTTTTTTTTATTTTTTTACTTCATCTCAGTTTCAAAATCCTTCTATTCAGTCGATGACTAAAAGTAACTACGTGGAACATTCATCAGATAATTCTACTATACACTTCCAATTGACGCATATCTCGAATAAACTTAGTTCAGAATTGTCAACTTCTCCAGAATTATCATCGATTTCTAACGAGACAAAAGTTAATCCTGAAAGCATTAATACTTCAAATTCATCTCAATCTGGTAGGAAATTACAACGTCGTGGAACTATATTTGATAATCCATATTATAGCTTTAGTGAAGTAAAAAATCCAAATTACGCAACTAAACCACCAAAACCCAGTCGCCAACCTCCACCAATCCCGTCTCCAAAAAAAACCTTTGCCTCAACCTCCTGAAACATCCTCGAATCGACAAAATACATCAATTCCTTCACTTAATAATAATGATTCTACACCGAGTCAGCATACTCCTAGCTTAGGACAAATGAGTATGCAACAAAGACCGTCCTCAAGTGCTGGTCATCATCAACGATTACCAACTTCTGATAGTAGCTTTTCTCAATTAGGATCAGGAATTGGGTCAACTGGGTTAAAAAATCTCGGGAATACTTGTTTTATGAATTCTGTTATTCAATGTTTAAGTGGTACGGTTCCATTTGCTAGGTACTTTTTGGATGGTAGTTATAAACGACACATCAATAAGACAAATCCTTTAGGAACTAAAGGAGTATTAGCTGAAGCATTTGCAACTTTAATTAGAGTGTTATGGAGTGAGAACTTTACATTTGTTTCTCCTGTTACATTCAAAACAGCTATTGGCCGATTTTCATCACAATTTTCTGGTACAGAACAACATGATTCTCAAGAATTTCTTGCATTTTTATTGGATGGTTTACATGAAGATTTGAATATTATTGTGAAAAAACCAATAATTCCTGATCTGACCCCTGAAGAAGAGCAACAAATGGAACAAATGGAACTCATTTCTCCGCAGATTGTATCAGAAATAGAATGGGAAAAGTATTTGAGACGTAATTCTTCGGTGGTGGTTAGTCTGTTTCAAGGACAATTTCGTAATACTTTAAGATGCTTAACTTGTAATAAGACATCTACAACTTATAATGCATTTATGTATCTTTCATTACCAATTCCTCAAAATTATAATGGAGAGAGAATAACTTTACATCAATGTCTTAATGCTTTTATTAAAGAAGAAATACTAGATGGAGATGATGCTTGGAATTGTTCTAAATGTCGAGTTCCTCGACGGGCAATAAAACAACTTAGTATTTCAAGATTACCAGATGTTTTGTTGATACATTTAAAAAGATTTTCATTTAGTGGACCGTTTAGAGATAAATTGGAAACTATGGTTTCTTTTCCTATAAGAGATTTAGATTTAACATTATATGTACCAACTCCTATTGAAAAGCCAACGTCAATTGGATGTAACATTCAACATGAACTACCGGGCACAGGAGCTGGAAATCATCATTCTCTACAACAATCTGGACCTTTTAAATATGATTTATTTGCTGTTTCAAATCATTATGGAGGGTTAAATGGTGGACATTACACTGCTTGTGTAAGAAATGGATATAGACATGAATGGCATAACTTTGATGATAGTAGGGTATCAATATGTGACGAAAGTAGTGTTATGGTGAATATATTTTCTCTCTTTTTTTTTTTTTTTTTTTTCTTTAAAAGAAAATAGGAATACTTATAATTGCTTTCGTCTCTAGTCACGTGCGGCATATAATTTATTCTACGTACGAAAAAACATTTGATGTGGATATCCTTGTGTAGGTTACACCAAACGAATGAATTTAAATCGGTTGTGAAACGTGAATTGATGAGTCACATTAATATATATTAATAGAATGACCAATGTGTATTATAATGAACTTTTAATTTTTTTTGTAATAAAAATTAGTTTATTTAAGAAATTGATTATCATACCCATTTTTATATCACAGACACATTCTTATTTATCTAATATATAAACGCGTTCTTTTTTATTCGTTTTTTTATCTTTTTTTTTTTTTTTGAACGAAACCTTACAACTTTAAAAAACTTGACCTTTTTAAAATGTTCGTTTTTAAATTTTTTTCTTAATATTTTTTTTTTAAAAAAATATATATACACGGGATAAATAAATAAATAATTCGCGTAAAATAATTTTATTTTGTAGAAATAATGGTGGTTACGAGAAATCATGTTCAAGAAGACGACGATTCTACACCTTCTGTTGATGAAAATTTAGTTTCAGAAGAGGAAGAATCTGATGATGAATACATTGTAGAAAAGATTTTAGAACATCGAATTAAAAAAGTTAGACTTTATAAATATATATTGTTGTTTACGCGAAATTTCTCATGAGAATTTGTTAAAATTTTTTTATTTAAAGGGAATCACGCAGTATTATCTTAAGTGGAAAGGGTTTCCTGAAGAAGATAATACATGGGAAAATGAATCAGACATGTACGTTAAATATACATGAAATTTTGGAGAAATCATTTTATAAGCTTTTTTATTTTATTTTATTTTTATTGTAATTTATTAGTTTTGCAACAGAACTTGTTGAAGAATATTGGAAAAAGAAAAATGAAACGAGTAAAACAAAAAAAGAAGAAAGTTTTGATAAAATTTCAAAGAAACTGAATATGATAACAAATAATCAAGATAAACTTCGTAAACGTAAATTCAGTGATTCATTTATTGAAGAACCCGATTTTTCTTTACTTGAAGATTATCCTCCACCGGACCTTACTAATTGGGAAGAGGCTGTTGATGATGTTGAAACTGTAGAAAGAGATTCCGAAGATAATGATAAAATTCTGGTCTATTTAAATTGGTATTTTGAGATTTAATTTTGTAAATTTAGAATCACTTTGCTATTATATACAGTTAATTCGTTTTTATGAGAAGCATTTGAGATTTAAAAATTTTGAAGAATGAACTCGAATTGTTATATAACATTGTTTTTTTTTTCTTGATTAAAAATTATTAAAATTGATTTTAGGATTAGATCGATCAATTACTTAGTTCATAACATGATGATTTTTTTTTTTTTAAAGAAAAAAAACAAAACAACAAAAATTGGAATGATTTTTGAAACTTTGTAAAAAAAATGCTGATTAGTGGTTATAATAATAATATAATAGTAATAATAAAAATAAAAATATATATATATATATATGTATATATTTTTTTCTAAATAGATTCACTATGATAAATAATAACTCCCAATTAAAAATTTTAATAATTTTTTATCTAAACGACATCTAATTTTAAAATAAATAGGAGTACTTTTAGAATCTCTGTTTCATTCTGGCAGTAATTGTTCTTAAATTTGCGTGTACTTTCCCTGGTGGACTACCTAATATTAATGATACAACTGAATCACGCGCAATCTTAATATTTTGATATGAACCTAAAATATGAACAGATCTAAAAAAAAAAAATTTAAATGAATGATTTTAATAATAATAATATTCATAATATTCATAATATTTAATAAATATACTCACGTTTCTGCCAATACGATTCTTGTTTTGGAAGTATTTTCAATGGCAAATTTCACTTTACCATTTTTACCTGCTATACGACCAATTGCACGAGACAAGTGATCATCTCCCAAGTTTTTTACTAAGAAATAAAGAAAAAAAATTATTTATTTAAAAATTTCTATAGATGAAAAGTTTTATTAGATTCAAAATACCATCTTTTATGTCAAATGAATCTATGAAAAGATCGTCAACACGTAAAATTGCTATTGCATCCTACATAAGTTTTCGAATTTATTTTAGTGAAAACCTCGAGAGAATTTTTTAAATTCAGTTTTACCAATCATACATCAATATCAAATCCCAACATAAAAGCCTTTATAAAATCTGCAGCCTTTTGAAGTGATCCGGGATCTTCTGTATATTTAGATGTCTAACATAAAGTTTATAAAAAACCATTATAAGTACTCAATTGTAATTTTTTTTTAAAAACAAAATTTAAATATACAATCGTTTTACCTTTATCTCAACACGGTTTGATCTTACATTCATTTTAACTTGTAAATTTAAATGTTTTACCAAAGGTTCATAAATCTTTTTCCATTCTTTTTTTAAGTGGTGTAAACCTATTGGGCGGAACAGGTATTTTACGAACTTGTGGTGCACCATTCTAAAAATTTTATTAAGGGATTAATATATTAATTCAAATTACGAAGTGATTAATTCCCGAATGGACTTACGTTAAGTTCATTAATAGTAGCAGGACGAAATTTTGGTTTAACGGTCTCCTCCTCGTCAGTTAACTTTTTTATTCCCGTTGATTCTTCTTCAATTTGTTCTCCTGATACTGGTACATATCCAGCATCAATCATAATTTCATCAGTGTCTTTAACTTTATTCGACATTTTGTAAGAATAGGTGCCAACAAAAAAAAAAAATTTGGTAAAAAAAAAAAGTTTATAAATTCATTGGTCTGTACCACCTATAATTTTTGATAAGATTATCTTGAAAAAATATAAAATTTTATTTTTTTCAGAAAATATATATATCATTTTTTTTTTTTTATTTAAAATGGTTCTTAAAGTTTCGAACCCTAATAATGTTAAAATATACACAGTTTCTGGATCAGGATCTCGTTCAATACCAGATTGGCTAGAACGAAGAAAAAAAAGAGTATTAAAAAACGATCCAGGTAACTGTTAACAACTCTAATTCTTCACTCGGAATTTGGAATTAATACAATCTTTTTGTATAGAATGGGCTTCTAGAGTTGAATTGATTCAAGATTTTGAATTTCCTGAAGCTTCGTTACGAATAAAAACAACGAGAGACGGTCATTTCGTAATGGCGACAGGTATGTAATTATTATTATTTCTATTTTTTATTTTTATTTTTAAAAAGATATTCTCAACTCGTAATTTTTAGGTGTTTATAAACCGCAAATTCGTGTTTATGAATATTCAGATATGTCAATGAAATTTGATCGACATACAGATTCAGAGAATGTTAATTTTGTGGTAAAGATATAAATCAAATTCTCGTCTCCATTAATTATAATATAATTCATATTTTTTGAAATTATCATAGATATTATCGGATGATTGGACCAAGTCCGTGTTATTACAAAATGATAGAACGATTGAGTTTCATACACAAGGTGGAATATATTATAAGATTAGAGTTCCAAAAGTAAATTAAAAATATTTTTTTTTCTTTCAATCCAATTCAAACTATTTGGTTAATACTAAAAAAAGATTTTGATATAGTTTGGAAGAGATTTAGTATATCATTATCCCTCATGTGATCTACTCGTAGGAGCATCGTCGCATGAAGTGTATAGGTTAAATTTAAGTCAAGGAAGATTTTTGAATTCATTTTCAACAGATTCAACAATGGGAGTAAACGTTACAATAATAAATCCAGCACATCAATTATTCGGGTTTGGTACAGAAGATGGTACAATAGAATTATGGGATCCAAGATCAAGATCAAGAATTGGTTTATTGGCTCCACAACTACCTCTTTCAGCCTCTTCTTCAATGAGTCTTAATAATTCACTTCAAGTTACGGCTATGGAATATAGAAATGATGGACTTTCTTTAGCGGTTGGAACTTCTACTGGTCACATCTTATTATATGATTTGAGAAGTTCAAAACCTTGGTTGGTTAAAGATCATCAATATGGTTATCCTATTAAAAAACTATCGTGGTATGATGATGTTATGGGAGATAGAGGAAAATCTAAAATTATTAGTGCCGATTGTAAAATTATGAAAATTTGGGACAAAGATAATGTAAATTTCTCCTAGATGATGTGTTTATAATTTTCATTTACTTATTTATTTATTTATTTATTTTTAAACTTTAATTTTGTAGGGAGCTAATTTTACTTCAATAGAACCCAATACGGATATAAATGATTTTTGTGTTGTGCCGGATTCTGGTTTGATCTTCGTTCCTAATGAAGGAATACAAATCGGTGCTTATTATATTCCTTCATTAGGTCCTGCACCAAGATGGTGTTCCTTCTTAGATAATTTAACGGTAAATTTCATTTGCTTTTTTTTAGTAATCTTTTTAAAGCGAATCTTCAGATTAAAAATATGCGTGTGTGTAATTTTTGCTTAGGAAGAAATGGAAGAAAATCCTCAACCAAACATTTATGAAGATTATAAGTTTGTCACTAGAAAGGAATTAACAAGGTAACTATATAACAAATATTTGCATTTATCCACATCAAATATTGAATGTCTAATGTATTTTATCTTGAAAAAAACGAATATAATAATAATAATAATTTATTTATCGTTGGTAGTCTTGGTATGGATCATTTGATTGGGACAAATGTATTAAAACCATATATGCATGGATTTTTTATGGATTTACAATTATACGAAAAAGTAACAGATTTATGATTAGTTTGCATTTTCATATACCGTTTAACTTTGAATTGCACGATTTATAATCTAAATTTTATATTTTAGGCCAAACTTATTGCAAACCCATTTGCATATGCTGATTATCGGGAACGTATAATTAAAGAAAAATTAGAAAAAGAAAGAGGATCGCGTATAAGAGTAAAGAGGAAATTACCTAAAGTTAATAAAGAATTAGCAAATAGATTATTAAAGTTTTCAGAAAAGAAAAAGGATGATAAACGACAAGGAGAAGATTCCGCTTCTGCTATAGTTAATGATGATGCCATTAATCCACTTAAGGATAATAGATTTAATGAATTATTTACTAAATCCTAATTTTGAATTTATTGAAAATATTATTAAAATAAAATTTTTACCTTTTACTTTTTTTATTTTTGTTTTTTTTTTTTTTATTAATTTTGATTTTTTTTTTTTTTTAAGACCTTTCTTTTTTTTTTTTTTTGTAGAAACGGAGTTTGAAGAAATATGATGATGAGGATGAGGATGAACAAATGGAATCTGAAGAAGAAAGTGATGCATCAACATTTGAATCAGAGATTGACAGTGATGAAGGTATTACATTGATATTAACTATTAAGTATAATACAGTATACAAATTTAATATTCTGGTTATTCTTTTACAGATTTAATAACGCAAATAAATAAACAGAAGGGAGAAAAGATGAAAGATGAATCAATACGTAAGACACCGAATTTACAAAAGAAAAAGGTAGGTTCATTTCTCTCTCTCTCTCTCTCTCTTTTATAAAAAAAAAAAGCTCTAATTTAATTTGTTGACAATATTTATTAAAGGGTATGAAATCAACAAATAGAAAATGGGATAGTATTGGTGAAATGACAATGACATTTAAATTAAATAGTAAAAAAGATAATGATTCTCATAATAATAAGAATAATAATTATAATCATCAAAAACGTAATAGAAGATCCGCTAGTAAGAATGTTTTTAGAGGGTTAGGTTAATAAATCATTTTGTTCTAAACAAATTCAAGATTAATTTGATTTTGATTTTCAAATTGAAATATTTAAATATCAAATCGAATTGCCTAAATTTACATAAATAGTTGATTTACAAATTTATTTAAATAAATAAATTCTAAAAATGTTACATTTTATTTAAATGATTTTTTTTTATTAAAAAAAATTTTATAATCATATATATAGCTTTTTACAATATTTGATAGAATAATTATATAAAATTTAATACAAAAATAATTCAAATAATAAATTAAGTAATAGAATTAGAATAGAAAACTTTATTTATGATAATTTTTTTTTCAAATTTCAAAACTAAATAATTAAAATAAAAAGATTAAAAAAAATTTCTTTTTAATTAAAATTTTAATTTATTTCATTTAAATACTATAATATAAATAATGAAATTAAAAATTTTATTTAAAAAATAAAAGATATTAATTTTATTCTAATAGATTTTTAATTTAAGAAATATAAGTAATTTTAAAATTAAAGATATAAAAAGGTTTATTTTAGATATTATAAATAAAAATTTATTTAAATTTTATAAAAAAAATGTATTAAAAGTAATTTTTATTTTTATAAATTTAACAAATTATATTAATTTCAAATAATTATTAAAAGTCATATATATAAAATATAAATTTTTTAAATTTTTAAATTCTTTAATTATTATATTAATATAATTAATAAGAAATTATTTTCTAATAGTATATAAAAATGATACAAATTAAAAAATATATATATATATATAAAATATATAAATACTTCTATTTACTATAAACTTATAAACTCTCATCTCCTATCTTATAATAATCTTTCGTTTCATTACAACGACTAACAAAACAAGATCTTCGTACCTTTCATGTTCTGCACAATTGGTTAATAATCTACCAGAACATAGCCTCTTAGCAACACAATATGAGCTTACCTGACTCACTATTGCTTCACCTTCATTACAAAATCTTAAATATCACTATTCTAATCATATAACAAATAAATTAAATATTATTTTGCATTATAAAAGATTATTTACACTATTATTTAATAACTTATTTTTATATATACAAATATTAAAAAAAATATATAAAATATTTTTATTTATAATGATTTAATCTTATATGTATAATATATAATAAATACCTATTTATTAATTCATATGATTTTAATATTTAAAGATTTAATATAAATTTTTTTAAGTTTATCTTTTATTTAGATAATTTTATTAAACTTATAGAACTTTACTTAAAATTCTTAAATAATAAATACTTGAATTTATAATTTTAAAAATATTATGATAAAATTTTAACTTTTTCTTATTAAAATTTAAAATTCAGATATTATAATATTTTATATAATAAAATCTTATTTTAATTCTCTTGAATTAATTTTAGTAGAGTCTAAAGAAAGAAAATAAGTATTTGAATTTTTTGACTAGTAAACAATTTGAAGGAACGGTAATATTCCGCAGCTATACAATAAACTATCTCGATGCGTTATAGCGAAAAATAAAAGGAAAAAAATTTAAAAGATATTTACTTTAAAATATTACAATACACGTGAGTAGCTTTCTTATTTTTTACCCTTTATACATTTGACGACTTCTAAGGGAGGGATTAAACTTTTTCAAAAAATCTTAAATATGCTATATGATAAATATAATTAGTTTAGTATCTTTAGTATTTTTTTAGTATAAGAAAAAAAAAGTAAGACTTACCAAGGATAATGCCTGAGGTACTTAGAACTATTCCAGCCGTTCCGAAAACTGAACCTAATAATAAACTCATTATTTATGACGCAAAACAAAAAAAAGAATTACAATACACATAATAATACTCACGAAGTATGAAATCCTTGATCTTTCCTACTTCATCCCTAACCTTATTTACTTCATCCCTAACTTTTCCTACTTCATCCCTAATTATTCCTACTTCATCCCTAATCATTCCTACTTCATTCCTAATCATTCCTACTTCATTCCTAATCATTCCTACTTCATTCCTAATCATTCCTACTTCATTCCTGACCTGTTTTTTGAGGTCGTCGATTTTGTCGACGAGAGTATTTTTAACTACATTAAGTTCGTGTTTGGTTACTGTATTCTTAGTACTATGAAGAAAAACAAAAATTAGTAAAAAAAAAATAAAAAATTAAATAATAAGTAATAAAATTAACTATAGTACAAACTTTTCTAGGATAATTTCAAGTAGAGCTTCCGCTTGTTGGCGGGTATAACCGTGACTTTCAAGGTCTTTCAAATGCTTAATTTGGGTATATCTCTATAAAGAATATAATAAATTTCAAAATATTTTCGATTTTTATATATTTAAGCAAAATTTATTATGATTTATCTACCTCGTTTTGAATAGAACTGTTATATCGAAAGAATTTCTTTGAATGGTTTTGGAAGGCAACGAAAGATAATCGTTTTAAGTGACTTTGATTCATAATTAAAATTAGTTATGAAAAAAATAAAATAGGATTGAAAATTTATCATTTTTTTATCAACCTATTTATGTTAATAATTTCAATCTCAACCAGGGTTGAAAATTTGACTGTAAAATATCGGCCATTTTGTATTATTTAACTAGAGTCTATTATGAATGCAGAAAGCCCGACTATAAAGAAGCAGTGTATGATTTTTGGTGATTTTCCAGAGTAAACCAACAAAAAATCACCGGCACGTGACATATGAAAATGTTTGTCACCCCGTGTCACCCGTGTCATACCCTATTTTCATAAATACTAGTAAAGTCCCGTTGTCTAAGCAATCAAAACTTCAATTAGCTTCAGGTAAGATTGAAAAAGAGAATTTGATGGAAGGTCTTGAAAAAATATGGGCCACGTCAAATTTATTTAATAATTTATTTAATATGTAAATTTCGAAAAAAATTTGTTTGGAATATATTGATATAATTTATTATACTACATCGGAATTACAAAAAAAAATTCAATATATTAAATCAAATGACGTCATTTTTTACGCGTAATTTTTGGAAAAATTTAGATGATATCAGATGATATCATTTTTTATTTAGATAAATAAACGATTTCCAACCATCACATCATTTTATTTTTCTTTCTCTCACCTTTATATAAACAAATCAACATATTGAAAAGTACTTTTTGAATCACCGTCATACAAATTGGAGTATTTCAGGACTCTTACAAGATTTATCTGAAGAAATTGACTTCACAAATGTTGATGCTACAAATATTCTTAATGCCTTTCGATAACACTTAGAAATTGTATTTAATAGCTAAAATGTCTTTAAGCATACGCAAAATAAGGCCAAAGAATTAATACAAACCTTGGATTTAGATGAATTAACACTACTTTTAGAAGGATTGCAGGTTAGCTTTCAGAGTTTACTTAGTATTGTTTTTTGCCAAATTCTAGTAAATTTAACTTACATTATTCATTCTCACTCTCGCTCTCGCTCTCACTCTCTCTCACAGGGTCAAAAGAAAGATCTAGATTAACAAAGTCAACAAGATGATGGCCATCATTGTTCTGAACTAACTATGATCAAAAATGAACTGAAAAGGTTGTTAATTATACAGAACCCTGTCAAAAGTCTCTAAACGCCATCTTTCGAACTTTTTCGTATTAATTACATTATGTGACTGTAGAAAATTGCGGCTATATAATGTTCTGGCCATTGTTTACTTAAATCAAACCAAATAAATATGTGTTTAATTTGTTTTATTTTGATTTTAGATCAAAATAAAATTTTATCTTTTTAAAACAACGAAAATGTTTAAAGAATTAACAATAGAATAACGCGGTGACATAATTTTTTGCCATCAACACAGTGATCGTTATCAAACTATTATCACGACTATCTATTGAGATCTATGGGCTGAAGTCAAGAAGAGCATCTGTGAAAGGAAAAAATTGCCTTCCAACCTTACTTAACTTGATCAACATGTTATAAAAACATGAAAACAAATTCTGATACAAAATATCGAAAATTTGGTTGATAGTATGCTGCAGCGAATTCAGGCTGTAATTTAAGCAAATTGAGGTCCAACCAAGTACTAATTATTTATTACTAAATGTGTAACATATCGTATTTTAATAAATATATTAATAAATATTTTTAATAAAATTTAAAAATTCCAAGTTTTATATTGAGCCAAAAAATGTCTGGAGACTTTTGGCGAAGGTCTGTATTAAAAGAAAATTAGATAAGAAAACTCAAGATTGGTTGGAAAATTTATTTGAATTGAAGAGAATGTTAATTGAAAATGAAAATAATTTTATTTTCAATATGCAATTTCAAAGAGCTAAAAAAAATTTAAACTGAAGAAGAAGTCGAGTATTTACTAGATAAACTGAAACAAGGAAAAACTACAATTACAAGATTGAAGGAATACAAATTCTTAATCTAGAAATTATACAAACTAACTCTTAAACCTAGTTTAATAATAGAAAACTGCTATAATTAATGAAAAATAATATAATAATAAAGTATGCTGGCTGTGCTTATTTTTAATTTTATTTTTTTCACTTTTTATATTACTACTCTGGGATTATAGATTATTCTTTTTTTTCTTTTTTAAAAGATCAAAAATAAGTCCTTTTAATAATTTTCATAATGAAACTTTTACTTTCTATTTTATGCTCTTGTTTTCGTTATTATTGCTGCCAAAAATGATGTATAATTTTTTAAATAATACAAATTAAGCACAAAAATAGCCAGTATTTTACAGTCAAATTCATATATATATATATATATATTGGGATTTTTATTGTGCATGATTATATAAAAATGGTTTCAAATTGGAGTCACACAATATTGATCTATAAAGAAAGATTTTTTAGATCAACTGTTAAAGAATGAAATGAATTTGTATTCTCAAGAAGGTTCTTTGTCATAATAAAATTGTTAAGTTAGATTACATCCTAATTATTTGCATAAATTCTTATTCGTCTAATATTTGTACGATTATTTTTTATCACACTTAAATTATTATACTTTATTGTTTTTCATAAAATATTATAGAATAACAAGTCTAAAGGAAGGAAATATCTCCCATAAAAAAATAAAGATACCCATGTTATTTAATACTTTTACAATATAATTTCTGAGATAAATTATCTATATTTAAGCTAAAAGTTTTACAATTATGTCTATGTATTTTACTACTAAAATTATTTTTCGATCTATTACTAAATTCTTAAGGCAAAATTTAGTAGAGAAAAAATAAAAAGGAAAGAAATAATTAATTATCCCCATAAAAGTGTTTTTTCACTTTAATTTTATGCATCTTTATAAAAACAAATTATATATTTTACTATATAATAGAATCGTTTAAATAGCATAGTATTTTTAAATGCAAGAAATAATAACAAAATATTATTACGTAGATTGCACTATTCATTTATAATAAAATTCTCGCTTTATATATTTATTATTCTCTTAATATTTGTCTGATCTAAAATTATAATTAAAAATATCTAGCGAAAGGCTTGACCTTTGAATATAGTGATAGCTAACATTATCAAATTATTCCTTTTTTTTACCTGTAAGAATAAATGAATCTAAACACACAAATCTAGCATGATTGGAAAAAGAGGATGCTATGCTACAGAGAAGAAGTAATCCTTATAATTATACCTTATTGTGTAGTAGACTTAGAAACTTTTATAAGGAGCATCTTGTATGCATTTGATTATCTCCTAATATCCACCTAGAAGGCAATATAGGTTTTCCTTAATATGTATTAACTGTTCTCTTATAAAGGGTCATTGAGATCCTGATTCATCTAAATAATATAAAATAGGTATTGGAGGATTCTTTTCAACAACAATTCTCTAAATCTTATATAAGCTAGAAGACTATATTGGATCTGTTATTCTGCGTCATTCGAAAGAATCATTTTTCAATTCTTCTTTAGTAAGTAAGAATCAGACAGTAGTACCCTTTGGTAGTTGAGGTTCATCAATGCCTATTAGGTGATTATATTTTACAGATAGTTTGAAATATATCTGATCAAGCTTTGTAGTATCATTAGGGCTTATCCCAATCAATTGAATTAGACTATCATTCATATTATCAACAATTTTTCTTGTAAACTGCTTACATTTTCTACAGCGCTTGCCAGTAGACAGGAGAAAATCTACTGAAAACTGATTTTTAAAAACTTTTCTAGAAAAATGTCCAGCATAATTGTCAAGAATAGCCAAGTTTGTATATCTGAAATGTGCTATAATTCTTCAGATCTCAATGCTATATTCATCTATTAATAAAGTCACGTATTCCATAAACTCAATGCTCTTATTATATTACATTTTTCGAGATATTAGGATTATTATATATACTCTTAAATACTTTTGCAACTTCCTCACTGCTCTTTGATGTTAAAAATTAAAATCTTTATATTTAGCTGCGCAGTCTATAACCAATAGTATATAGTAATATATTGGAAGACCACTGCTATTATCTAGTAAATTTGTATCTACATCTTCATCATATAGTATTTCAATTAAATCACATTGATATACAGTATTTAGCTTCGTGATTTTAGAGTAACTGGCATAAGGTATATGCTTTAATGAAGGACGAAAAATTTGATACATTGCTTGGCTCTTAAACCATTTTTTACATCAATAAATGGAAAGTTATAATCAGCTTTTTTACAAGCATCCTATAATTCCTTAACATTTTAATACAAATCTTTAAAATAATAATATAGTTTTTACAAAGCAAGATACTAGTTTAAATTATGAGCTTTTTGAGGATCGACATTAATCGTAGGTATTTGTTTTGCTATAATTTGGTCTAGCTTTTGTATTTTTAAGGATCAATATAAATAACCAGTTCTCCCATTCTATTTTATAATCACGAAAAAAAAGAATATCATTTTGCAAACCTCACCTAAGGCAGAAAAGAACATGTGAAGAATATAAAGCTGAGCTGAAGGAGGATAACTCATATCTTCAAGATGTATTGCAATCAGAAGTAGAAATTAATTACCAGAATGAAAGACGAATTAATCAACTAGAATGAGAATATTCCTGATGTGAGCAAAAAATTCAGGATCTTAATAAGAAAATAGAACAGCTTGAGAATGCTTCGAAGGAAGAGATAATAGAACTGAGGTTTAAATTCTCTAGCCTAAAAAATCAGTTATATCAAGCTAAAAAGGATATGCGAGATAAGGATAGGTATATCTCTAGTTTAAAAAAGCGGTTAGTAGAATCTGAGAAAAAAGTAGAAAAATTGTGATGTCAGATTAAGACTATCTCATCACGAAAAAATTCTTAAGAGTGGGATAATTCTCCAGACTTGTATAATTCTGATGATAATATAGTCACAATTTCTGAGCTAGCAAATGCTATAGATGGATATCTAGATAATAGAACAATAGCTAAAGATATTCTGATAGATCAAATAAAAAGAGCAACAAGGCAAATTCGTCGAAAAGAAAATAATCTGCAT